CCCGGCCGGCTCCGAAGGCGCGGCCGCCGAGACGCCTAGCGCTGCAGTCCCGGCGACCGCTCGCGACCTCCTTCTTTCATTCACAAAAAAAGGAAAGGGGGGAAAAAAAAGAGAGAGTGAGAGAGAGGAACCCGAGAAAACACGGGGGAGGGGGTGATGAATCGCACCAGAAGGGTGCGTGACAGGCACCGCCCACAGCGGCGCGCCGTTGGTGGAAAGGGCTGGGGGGCGGGGAAAGAAGGGGATTGGGAGCCCCGGCGACCCGGGCCCCGCCCACGCGCCGCTCCCTCGCTCCCCTCTTCCCTCCCTTTGTCTCCCCTCCCGGAGGGACCCGGCGCGAGTAGTCTCGACTCCCTCTATTGCTGGGTCGCGTCCTTCTCTCTACCTGGTGAGGCGCAAAAAAAAACAACCCCCACCCCCCTCTCTGGACTCCCAAGGGATTTGCCCCTTCCCTTCGGGAAGCTGAGAAAGAACTCCAAGGGGCACCCTAATCAGCCCTAGAAGGGATGCAAGTTAGAGGAGGGGAACTCGACATTGTTAACCTGTCCCTTGAACCCAGTCCTCCGCTGCTTGCGGGTGGGGCGAGGGAGACAGTTTTTCTATACACGCCCTCTGCCGACCTGGGAGTTTTCACAGCGCGTGGGGTCTTCTCTCCATCACCACCCTTGCAGGGGCAGCCTATGCCTCGGACTGCCTGCAGTGGCCCTTAGTAAGTTTCAGGTGCCATCTGCGCCTGTTTGCCATCATCAGGCTCCCTCTTCTCCAGTTTCCACTTCCATCCCACCCGATCCTATTGCCGCCTGGAGTTCACCAGTATCTTTTGACCTCTGAAAGAAATACCATGAAGACACTAGCCCTGGAGATGGTACCCAAGACACCTCTGGGCTCTGTCTCAATTTACTCCTCTATAAAATAGAGAGGTTTTAAGAGATGACATCTGTAATATGAGTGGTCCTCAAAGGAAGTTTCCATGTCCAAGGCTAGTTTGATTATAATGATGTTGACTGCTGGCAATTACAATAGTTATCTCAGTCTGCTTTTATCCATCCTGTTGATTACCTCTGGACAATTTCTTTTTTTAATTTTTAAATGTATCTTTATTGTTGAGAGTATTACAGGTATCCCATTTTTTCCCCCCAATTGATCACCTCCACTTCGCTCCCACCCCGTTCCCAGGCCTTCACCCCGTTATTGACTGTGTCCATGGATTATGCATATATGCATATAACTTCTTTGGTTAATCTCTTCCCACCGTCCACCCCCCTTCCCTCTTTCCTCTGAAATATGATCATCTGTTGCATGCGTCAATGTCTCTGGATCTATTTAGTTCATCAGATTCTTTTGTTCATTAGCTTCTTCTTAAAGAANAAGTATGTCACTAGTGGATGTGGTAAGGTTGTAATCCAGCATGGCTGAGTCTAACCACCAGGTGCACTGTCTCTGGGGCCTCCAGGGAGGNATGAACTCCTTTAGCTTTCTCTAATCTGTGGGCACTTTGAATATTTCTTGCCACTCCCTTCTGGCTTGCAGAGTTTCTTTTGAGAGATCAGCTGACAGTCATAGGGGTGCTCCCTTGTAGGTAACTAATTGCTTTTCTCTTGCTGCTTTTAAGATTCTCTCTTTGTNGCAAACTGTTGTCGGCTGCTACTTGTGCTGGGCTTGGCGTTGTCCAGGAGAGGCCAAGCTATGAACCAATGCAGCTGCCGCTAGTGCCAGGCCTGGGGCCGCTTATCGAGCTCTACGGGGCCCCGCTGCTGGCTGTTAGAGAGATTTTAGGAGTCCTAAGCATGAGGCTTGAGAGGCCACTTGCATAGAAAAGCCCCTGGAAATGGCCTGGATGAGCTGCAGGTGGGGAGGGGCGGGGCCTCCGGAGTCAC